CCACATGCTCTAGGTTGTCTGCCGTCTCTCCTACTGACTACATTGAAGACAATAGTATTGGGTGTCGGTGCATGACTGACCCAGGAACCACGGGCAGTGTCCACATGCTCTAGGTTGTCTGCCGTCTCCTACTGACTACATTGAAGACGGTATTGGTGTCGGTGCATGACTGACCGGAACCACGGGCGAGTGTCCACATGCTCTAGGTTGTCTGCCGTCTCTCTACTGACTACATTGAAGACAGTATCGGTGTCGGTGCATGACTGACAGGAACCACGGGCAGTGTCCACATGCTCTAGGTTGTCTGCCGTCTCTCCTACTGACTGTATTGAAGACAGTATTGGTGTCGGTGCATGACTGACAGGAACCACGGGCAGTGTCCACATGCTCTAGGTTGTCTGCCGTCTCTCCTACTGACTACATTGAAGACAGTATCGGTGTCGGTGCATGTCTGACAGGAACCACGGGCAGTGTCCACATGCTCTAGGCGACTCAAGGCATAACCATGGCCAAGTTAGAATTAAAATAACTATGATGGACAGATGAACTAACTATGATGAACCTATGGGGGTTGCATTGAGGGCACACGACACAACACTGGTCATATTGTCAGTTGCTCGCTTTTGGAGAGGAGGTCAAGGAATGTGTCAGTTAGTTATGGTGCGGTCCCAGTGGCGACCTCGGGAGCTCGACCGACTCGACCTCGCAAACTACTCGACCGGTCTCGACCTGGGGGGTATCTCGACCTCACAACGACCTCAAAACGACCTCACAACGACCTCGTAAGGACCTTTACGACCTTAGTTCGATTTTAGTTCGTCTTCAGTCGATCTAAGTTGAGAAGACCTATACTCGACCAGCTAGACCTGTATATCGGCCTAATTTCGAATTAATTTCGTCCTAAGTCGACCGGCCCGACCTCACCGCGACCTGTGTTCAACCGGAGCGACTGGTTCTCGACGGAAATTCCATTTTTCTGCCGAATAGACCCTTGGTTTCCATATAGTATAAATTACAGGGTGCATTTTCACCAGGTACCCATTCAATTAGAGGACTGCAAAGTAGTAACATCACCATCAGGAACCTTGACGTAAACCTGGTGAGCCCCGAGAAGCGAAGACTGCTTACTATTTGGGTGCAGATAGCCTGGCACCTGCTTGAACTGGTGGATGACCTGGAGAATGCCAACCCTCCTCCAAAGCCAAAGCCCCAGCAGTAAGCACATCAATCCTATCCTTGACGCCTTCAAAGCTGAGTATCGGTCAGAAGAGTGGGATCAGAGCAGATGGAATACTGTAGCCCGTGCTTTGAAGGAAAGGTGGCAACTTCCATATTGCACCGGTGCGTTGGATGGCAAGCACATACGCACCAAGAAGCCTCCCAAAAGCGTGTCCCTCTTCTACCACTACAAGAACTTCTGCTCTATCGTCTTTCTGGCACTCGCGGATGCCGACTACAAGTTTCCGTGGGTCAACGTCGGGGCCAAGGGATCAGCATCAGACGCTCATGATCTTCAACCATTCACGAGATCGGATGGAGGGCGATGACCTTGTATTCCCCGTATGGTGTGCCATACTTCATCATCGGAGACGATGCCTTTCCACTCAGCCCCTGGATGCTGAAGTCCTTTTCCATGCGTCAGATGGACCCCGATCAGCAGATCTTCAACTGCAGGTAATTATTCTTTTCCATAAATACCTAAATCAAATTATAACTTAGTATCTTTGGATGTATGCAATATTATATCAAAGGTTTTGAATTTTGAATACATTTGACTTAAAAATGTTTAATTTGTGACTTTTGCAGACTGTCTCGGGCCAGACGAGTGGTGGAGAATACCTTCGGGATTCTGGCTATGAGGTTCGAGATCTTCCTCGGCTCCCTAAATAGCACTGCAGACAGAGCTGAACAGATAACCCAGGCCTGCGTCACTTTACACAGCATGCTGAGAACGAGGAACCGGAACAGTCAGATGAACCTCATAGACCGGGGAATGGGGACTGTTCACTCACCCCAGGTGAGTGGCGCACTATTTGAAGGACTATTTCATGGCCCCAGGAGCTGTTCATTGGCAAGAGAAGATGATATCCAAATGACTTTAAAGTGTACTCTATTATTTAGGACTACTTCATTTACAAAGGAACTCTTGTTTGTTTTATATTTACACTATTTACAATTTGTAAATGAACAAAACAAACTTTATTACAATCGTACAATATGTATTTACATTTACACTTAGCAATGGATGGAAAATAAAAAAAAAACATATCAGATAAAAAGCTTTTAAATCTTGTATTGGAAACTCATTAAAGGTCACATAAACCCTAGGGGTACAAATACATAAATCACTAACTGGCATCGTTTTAAATGAAACCCCGTCATTAAAACTACTCATTTCGACCTTTAATTGACTTAAATCGACCTTTTTGACAACAGTGCACAATTCTCACCCGCGAACGAAATTTCAACCAATCAGAACGGCGCGTCTCTGTGACGTCATATGAGGAATAGCTTTGAGGGCCGATGCAGAATTCATCTACATTTTAGGGGGTAAATTATCTTGTTTACAGGCTTGTATAAACCTGAAATCGTGACAATTGTTGTGGAAAATGAAAGCTATATGTTCTCACAATCTACTGTCATTTAATTTTGTCTCCTGCTTTGCCTAGTTTCCGAGTTACAACTTGTTTTCATAGACGATTCTGTCAAAATCGATTGGTGTCGTTAGGCCCTATTTGTATAATGACTGATCTAAATTGATCCCATTTCTGTGTTTTTTACCTCGATATTTAATCATGTCATGTAAAAATCTGTTTGTATTCTCAAAACAGTGTCGGCCCATAAGTTTTCACATGCAATACAGCAATTAATACTCCCTTGTTGTAACCCGTGTTAGGTGGTATAAACCTACACATGTTATTTGTCATCATTCACTTGATGGTCAGTTAATGAATTTATAACAGGTATAATTAGTGGTAACACACTGAGATTACCCGACAAAGGTTCCCATTTGGCATTTCTTGTGTCTGGAGTAAATATTCAACATTATAAACATCGATCAAAGGATTAACCGATAACACGCTGATTGATTAATTACTTTTATCTTACACAGCGGAATTGTCAAAGGTAGTGTTTATGTATGTAGATTTACTAATCTATACTGAATACACTCTGTCGTGTCGGTGTCTGCGTAAAAACAACGTGCTTCGTTCAAAGGATTAACCGGCAATACATTGATTGATTGCCCATTATTGGCTAACTAAATTACTGTTTTTGAAAGAAAGGCGGACATTATGCAATTAGTTGCCAGGTGTGCTATCTTGGGTGACCAATGAGACTATACACCAATACCTGAAAAGATTGATCACTTTTTCGTATATTAAACTGTTAAAAGACACATCATTTGGAACAGTTTTGTGGATATTGATGGATACATTCCTCGAACAAGGTAATGGCCTGATATTGTTCCTATAACTTTAATCTGTTTTAATTTTAATATTTGCATTTTGTTTTTATTCATTTGTCGAAGCATTCAACAGAATCATTGTTTTCGCCGTGAAGTGTAATAAGACAGACAACATACACTAGGTGTGTGTGCGGATTATGATTCACATTGGCAAACTATAAAATGTCTAGCTATTACAGTTCTGTTATAAATTCACTATAAGTATCAGCAGATCGTCTGCTTTTTATTTAGTTTCAAAATGCATACAAGTATGATAACAAACTAATTAGGATTATAAGACCAAATATAAAGACGCACATTGACTAGTATCTACATACTGGTGAGTGGACGTTAACCACGTGAATGTAGCAAGAAATTTATCGCGCAGTATTGTAACTTCGACCCCCACCTCGCTTCCGTGGAAGAAATCGTTATGTTATAAGTTGTGTCATGCAAAATCCGTTTGGTTATGATTCCAATACATATTTAACTACGAGTAGAAAGTAGTTTTGATTTTCTAACTTGATGAAAACAAACTATAATCTCATTAATTCGAACAGACTTTACGATTTTCAAAAATGGCGGCGCCCTGTCGGGAACATCCGCCAGTCTGAGGATAAATGCTATTTAGGTTTGTTTTCACCGAGTTACAAAATCAAAACTACTTTCTACTGGTAGTAAAATATTTATTTTATTGATGGCCAATAGGATTTTGCATGATATAAGTATAACATAACAATTTCTCCTGGCAGCGAGGTGGGTGTCAATATAATACTACTTACAATATTATTGTTACTTCGACCACAACCTCACTTCCGAGGAAGAAATCGTTATGTTACAAGTTGTGTCATGGAAAATCTTTATGGTCATCAATCATATACATATTTTACTACAACCAGTAAGTAGTTTTGATTCTTTAACTTCCGTGAAGCGATCTGAACACAAGTAAGATATCGTTTCAGGCTTCCACAACGCTCGCTTCGCACTCACAAACATAACCCATTTAGCACGAACTGCGGGGTCCTGTGGAAATCTGTGCATGGTGACACCATCGCCCGACCCCTAGGAGCAATTGACGACAAAGCAACGATTCGGCATGTCGTCGTTGATGTCGAGAAAATCATCAAAATGATGAGCATGCTTCACACTTTCTATACAACTAACTGAAAATCGTTCCTCATATGACGTCACTGCAGTGCTCTGGCGACAGAGTTACGTAACCTGTCTGTGGTTTCGTTGGCGGGCGAGAGAGAAGCAGGCGACTTTTTGGCCACTTTTAATCGTTCGGTATTAATTAACCACAAGTTTTTAAAGAATAAATTTGGTGTTCCGCATAAGACTAACCACAAATCTTTCATATGTAATGGTTAAAAGAGTAACAAAAAACAAAGTTTAGTGGTTCTTTAAAATAATCTGAAGGTAACATTTCACATCATTATAAAGTGCTCATGACAATATATGAGTATCAAGTTCTACTTCTTAGTTTCACTGTCCTTGCTGAGAGTCCTGAACATGTGACTGATCCTCTGAGGTGTATGTAGGGTCCAAGAGACAGCTTGGCAGGTACAGAGATATACCTGCTGCAGCACTGGAGTCAAAGTTGGGGAAGATACCAGCCTGATCCGCTGCTTTGCGGCGTGTTGGAGAGGGTGATGTGCTCAGGGTGGACCTCTGGGTGGCAGCAGATTGGTGTGGAGATGATGTGCTACCACTGGCTGCCGTTTGGCTTTTATGAAGCATCTGGGAAGATGGCGACCATTTATGCGGTCGGCGCGGACTCGATTAGGTCGAGTTGAGGTCGAGATAGGTTGACTTCAGGTCGAGTCGGTCGACTCCAGGTTGAGTCCAAGTCGAGTCCAGTTCGAGTTGGTCGACTCAAGGTCGAGAAGAGGTCGAGTCGAGGCCGAGTACAGATCGACTCTAAGACGAACACAGATCGGCATCTCAGGCCAGCTCGACCTTCAACTCGACCAACTCGACCTAATGTAGACCTAAACGCGACCTTTTTCGACCTACCTCGACCTATTCTCGACCTGGTCTCGACTCCATCTTGGACCGAAGGTCGAGGAGGAAGTCGGGGAAATTGTTTGACATGTCAAAAAAAATTCAAAAACTTGGTAGACCTGATTCGATCTGACTCGACCTGACTCGACCTAACTCGATCTAACTCGACCAATTCGACCCCCAACTCGACCTTCAGGTCGAGAAGGTCGAGTAGCGTGAGGTTGGCACTGGAACCGCACCATTACGACTTACCCTATGCGTCCGCATACACGATCACATTATGTCCACGAGGTGGAAGGAGTACAAATGTGTAATTTCTGTCAGATTTATTACACATGGGAGGTATGGTAAAACTTTGCCTACATGCAGCGTGACACCAACACATAATCCGGATGTTCTATAGCAGCAGCTGGCTCGGTTACTTTAAGAAAAAACATATATGTAAGTTACATGGAAGTATAACTAGGTGTGCGTGTATGCCACGCGAGAACATAGCTGGCAATATGTGATGTTCGTCAGTGTACAACGCTACCTCTCAACAACATAACAGGAAGTGATTATTGTGACCCTCCATGAGTAGTCTAATGTACGAACACCAGCCTGACGCTGGCAGTGAAAGTAGTGCACATTGGAAGGGGCAAATCACATGACCGCAAGCCTATGACCGCTCATGGCGGCATGTCACGTCTGTACCACCAGAGACCATATAATCTATAGACTAATGCTTAGTCTCTGAATATATATAGATTTTGATAGTAACAAACAAGCCCATTTAAATTGAAAAGGAGCCCCATGGAGACCAGAGATTCAGAACCTGAACCTTAGGAAATCTAGATTTGCTTTATTTAGGGATTTAGCACTGCAGAGAAGGCTTGGCAGTTGGGAAACTATAGTATGACCAGACATTATTGAGAATTTTAGGAATATGTTTAATTGGATTTCTAGTATAAACAACCTGAACCAGCTATCAAGTGCTTGGTTTCATTCAAGAGAAATAACTCCGTTAATCATTTTTCATTAGTTTGTGAAGAGTTATCCTACTTTGTTTACTTGCTAGCAGACGACATTTTCAGTGATCCTCAGTATGGATGATTTAGAGAAGAGGAAGTTGGTTTTAGAGTATTATAACAAGGACATCAAATCAGCTAAAGTGATTTCAAGTAGAACAGGCTTCCCTTTGTCCACTGTTTATCTTGTTTTGAAAAATATTGCAAATGGATATGGCATTGAGCACCAGGGAGGCGCATGTAGGCCCAGAAAATTGACTGTCGGTGACAGCAGGCGGCTTGGTATTCTCGTTTCTAAAAACAAACGAAATAGTTTAGAAAACTTAAGGCTGGATATGATTGATAGAGGAACTGTGGCTGTCTGTAAGGAGACAATTAGAACTGAGCTGCATGCAATGGGTTGGCAGAAAAGTCGAGGAATTCCATCACCGATCATGAAACCTGAACAAAAGGAGCGAAGGTTGAAGTGGTACTTACAGCATAGAAATTTTAACTGGGACAATGTGATTTTCTCAGATGAAAGTTCTGTGTGGCTGTTTCTGTTTCTGGACCAAACAAACTGAAATTCCTGTATCAGCGCCCCAAGTACAGTCCTGAAAACGTGTGGGGTGGCATATCTGTGTTAGGGGCAACGCCCCTCTGTGTATTTGAAGGGAATATGAAAAGTGAGGGTACACAGATATTCTCGAGGGACATTTACTTCCACCTGCTCACGTGGTCTATGGAAATGTTTGGATTTTCCAGCAGGACAACGTCCCAAAACATCGTTCAAAGCATTCACAGGCCTGGTTTCGGACCCAAAATATGACATTATTAGATTGGCCAAGCTATAGCCCTGACCTAAATCCAATAGAAAATGTATGGGGACTTATGAAGGAAAGTGTCCATAAGAAAAATCTGACAAATATTGCTGAAATGAAAGAAGAGGTGGTCCGATATTGGGACAGCATGGACCACGACTTTCTAACTTCTTTGATCAGTAGTATGCCCCGCCGCATTGAAGCCTGCATTGCTGCCCATGGTGACTTGACAAAATACTAACTGTCCACCTGCCTTTGAATCTGGAGTTATGTTCTGCTAATATTCACATTTAATACGTGAGTAATGAGTGAAAAAAATATAAAATTTACAATCTTTAAATTCTCAATAATTTCTGGTTGTACTGTAAGTGGTTCAGGGACTGTGAGACAGACTATATAATCTATTGTATGGTCTCTGGTACCACGCTTGACTGAACAGAGGTGGTCAACATAACTCACAGTCCAGGGGCCGGCCAGCGACCCTGCTTCAGTTTTCCGACCACAGGGTTTCACAAAACCACAAGAATGACTGAAATATTGATCTAAGTTATGGGGTGTGTCAACAAAGTCTCACGACACACAGTATCGAAGAGTATCCTGTAGAGTGAATATCGAAATGCCCTCCGATACTGTTGACGTCACTATATCAGTCTCTGCGAGGAGACCCACGGGACAGTCTCTGCGAGGAGACCCACGGGACAGTCTCTGCGAGGAGACCCACGGGACAGTCTCTGCGAGGAGACCCACGGGACAGTCTCTGCTCCACATATGAGCCGATTCCGTTGTTTAAAGCAAACTATTTACAGTGAAGTTTTGCCGACAAGAAGGAGTTTGCGTTCTCCTGAAGAGTCGACATGAATACTCAGATATGAGGAGCTGTCAACAGTTGTCATAAACACTGACAAGTGGACCAAGGTAGTTACACACCTACTTGACCACACACTCAACTTTATATGTGTACTTGACCTCCGGCCATTATAACTGGGACAGACGCCGAGATGAACGACATACCTTGATGACAGATATGCAAGGTGCGGGGGAGTGCGTGCACCTTGATTAGGATCGAACTCTGTTGTCGCGATTGACTACGATGCACGCGGCATACAGCAATATTCCAATAATGTCACGGCGAGGGACATCAGAAATGGGCTTCACATATTGAACCATGTGGGGAATAGAACCCGTGTCTTCGGCCTAACGAGCGAACTATTTGGCTCAGGCTGGCACTTCATGAAAATACCCATTATATATGACTGAGAATGAGGTTGGCCCATCGAGTGCACCAGAGACCATATGCCGGTACAGACTGAGGTGGTGGAGAAAGAAGAGATTGAGGTGTGTTTAGTATAAACTATCGTGACAACAGTAATTAGACACTATATTTTAAAGGTCAGTCAGTCAGCCGGCGATGGAACCCCCGAGCCTCTACTGACGCAAAGTATGACTTGTGTTATACCCTGTCAGTCCCAGCACAACCATGAACCAAGTGTTATATTAAACTGTATCCCGCTTCCTTCTCTCTGAACAAACTGGGTTCCATTATTAAAATCTGAGTGACTTGAGTCAACCAAAGGTAGCATATTTTTGGCAAACAGGATTGACTTGATCCAGTTTGAATTATCATACACAAAATGGTGGTCTGGAGAAGGACAAACACAATGTGAACTGCCATAACACACAACTATGAGAGGTCGACAAGTGCTTCATTGCTTGACACACCTGCCATTGTACCTTTGCCATTTAATGCATGTAAACTGATAAGAAAGATTATAATATGTGTGGAACATCAAAGTCGCCAAGTCATCAAGTTCGGTTATTACATTTAAGGCATATGAATTAACAAGTCATCAAGGCAAAATATAGACATATATGCTATCAATACCTAGTTATTCAGCAATACGTAGTTATTCAGCAATACCTAGTTATTCATTCACTGAGACGCTGCTGACGAAAGCCCAATAGGCTCAGTAGGTATGGCCAACCGACGTATGGCGTAAATCTGGCAACATATGTTGACACTGGTCAGTCACGGAATACCTGGATCAACTTCTTCCGGGTCGTCACAGATTCAAGCACTGGTCATCCAGAGTATCCCTGTAACGGTATTTTGTGTGCCATATACCAGATCAATCACGGCATGTGATGGCGTATGGGTGAATCCCACAGGCAATAGAGAACACGCAAGACGTAAAGGTGAAGGTCAGTTAAGATAAATGTAGACACCCGGTGACGTTATCCTACACACTGATGTAGACACCGAGTCACGTTATCCTACACACTGATGTAGACACCCAGCGAAGTTATCCTATACACTGGTGTAGACACCCAGTGACGTTATCCTACACACTGATGTAGACACCCAGTGACGTTATCCTGTACACTGGTGTAGACACCCAGTGCCGTTATCCTACAGACTGGTGTAGACACCCAGTGCCGTTATCCTACACACTGGTGAAGACGCCCAGTGACATTATCCTACACACTGATGTACACACCCAGTGACGTTATCCTGTACACTGGTGTAGACACCCAGTGACGTTATCCTACACACTGATGTAGACACCCAGTGACGTTATCCTGTACACTGGTGTAGACACCCGGTGACGTTATCCTACACACTGATGTAGACACCCAGTGACGTTATCCTACACACTGATGTAGACATCCAGTGACGTTATCCTACAGACTGGATATCATGTACACTGGTGTAGACACCCAGTGACGTTATCCTACAGACTGGTGTAGACACCCAGTGACGTTATCCTACACACTGGTGTAGACACCCAGTGACGTTATCCTACACACTGATGTACA